TTGAAGACCACAGTCATTTGGTCCCAGTATCTTTGACAGCTCATGGATCGCTACTCGCTGGTCTACTGATTTTCTGAGCCATACCTCGATCGCATGCATAATAAACAAGCATAAACAGGATGTCAGTGTCCTTGGCATACACCACAATGCATTTACAAGTGTTGTGTTGTTTATAAATAGGTGAAAAGTATCAAAGTCCTGTTATTTATTACTTGTAAAGGTACAAGGCTAACAGTGCGAATTTCAGAAAAAATATAGCATTAACTTTGGCACCTATAACTGTTGTTGTCGTTAAATGTGCACATTGCTAAGTGTTTACAGTTGCTTATCATTAGGGGTAACTTGTGTTTTGTTCAATTGCAACGTAAATAATCTGCACATTCAACAATTTATTGCTTTTGTGCAACAGACATATGAAATGATGTTATTAAGGTATATCATATCTCATTCCTAAAGTTATACAGATGCTCCAAACTCAACATCAGCTGAACCGAACCAGACTTTCTCCCATAATTTTAACATATTTCATTTTCCAGTAGAAAAAAATTAATAAAATTAATATATTAGTATGAGTACTATTTATCTTTATATCTGAAGGTTACTCTCTGGATTCTTACTTAGGTAGGTCTGAACTTTAATAAAACATAGGGAAACCAAAGATAGCACGAAGTATTCATACCGACCATCGTGCTCCCCGACTACAAGAGCAATCCAAGAACTTTTCAAAAAGAACTTTATTTTTTTTGTGTGTGTCTAGCTTGTCGGATTTAACAGGCGCCACTCGAATCAGGTAATCAATTAAGTGCTTTTAACATTTTTATTTTTATCAACAGCTAGATTTCCATATGGTCTCTAATCAAGATTGTGAATAGAATATCACCGAAACGTGTTTTCAGACTTAACAAGGGTTATATGATAAAGGAAAGGTTAACGAAACTAATCATTGTGGAATGTCAAGCTAATTCTAGAGCATATCTAATAGAGATCATAGAAAAAACTGACCAAGAAGAATCAAGAAAAAACAACAACAAACAAACAACAGCAAAACTTGTGACAAAGAAACCTTGAACTTGATTATGATAACTATTGTTAGTATTTGAGAAGGTCGATGAACTGTTTGTTGCCAGGCTCCACAATCTCAAAGAATATCATTTCATAGACAGTAATGGGGGCACGTTAGAGTTAAAACTATCATTCAGTCTATCGTGCAAAAATAGCCAAGTTTGTTTAAAGATATCTGTATGAGGTGGTTAAACTGTTTAGGAACTTAAAAAAAACAGAGTGACTTGACCGATAAGGTGATAAAGCCATCAGATCTAAGCAGCTCACCTTCTGATACTTAATGAACTGTCAACATACAGCAAGAATCAGAGATTACATGCTCGAGTCAGGGGTTGTATCCTATACGGGTTCAAATAACAACTTCTCATGTCATCATGCTTATGAACTACTTGAGAAACTGGAAAATAATAATATATTTTTCTTATCATTATTTCACGCCTGCACACGCAGCTAAGGTTTACAAACCAACATTTTGAAATTCACCGTTCTCTTTAATATGTCTTTAGTTGTACAATACTACCCCCCCCCCAGTGGCACAGCGGTATGTCTGTGAACTTACAGCGCTAGAAACCGGGTTTCGATACCCGTGGTGGGCAGAGCAGAGATAGCCCTTCGTGTAGCTTTGGGCTTAACTCGAAACAAACAAACAAACAATCTACAATACTTCTTATAATCATAGACCAGACCAGTAGTGCGAAAACGTTTTTAAGGCGCCCTCCTTTTTAAACATGCATTTTGTTCCTCCCCCTCCCGCACCCTGTATAACCCATTTGTGTATATACTGTACATGTAAATTTCCTATGTTACTTGTTGCAGTATATTACTTAATAGTAGCAATATTTGTACTGTAGATTTTAAAATTCTTTAATTTTAAATTTGTACTTTAAAACATAATTGATATGCTATTATAGTCATCATGGGCGCCCGCTGGAAGGGGCATTTGCTCCCCTTACATTTCACAAAAAAATGCACGTATCATGATGTAAACTTAACATCCCAGTTAAACTAAATATTTTTAGTAATAGTTATTACAACTGTAAATTTGTGTTTGCGTTTAAGCACACATAAAACATATTCTTTCAATCTGGTGACTTACATTGTAAAAGCTGACCCCCTACATACATGCCCCCTCCCCTTGAAAATATTTCTGTGGGCGCCCATCATAGTCATAGTTGCGCGCTCCCTACCGACTCTCCCCGCTCCCCTTGAGGGACGTGCCCAAAACCCAGATGTGTTCCTCAAGTTTGTTTCTCAGTCCACTAGTGGATCAGCACTAAGCAGTACATTTCCGGACTTACAATGCTGAAATCCAGGATTCGATTCCCTGGGTTGGACAGAGCGCAGATAACTAATTATATTGTAGCTTCGCGCTGCAAAGCCAACAACATGTATGTTTGTTTGTTTGTTTTAGAGTAAAGCCACATTGAGCTATCTGCTGTGTCTACCATGGGGAATCGAGCCCCAGATCTTAGCATTTTAAGTGATTGAACTTACCACTGTTCCACCAGGGAACTAACATATATGCTTTGTAAAAAATAATACAGGCTGCTGCACATCTTCACACCAAATTTACGAAAATGAGCAGTTTCGCTTATTTATTATTTTAGCATAAACTTTTTTATGTATTTAATATTCACAGTTTTGTGTGTGTTCTATGATTCAGTTCATAAAGCCTTTACAATTTTTTATTAATAACGATTTGAACATAAACACGATATCTAAATAGATATGTTGCTGACGTTGCAATACACTTGTCAATATATTCAAATTGGTTGTAGAACAAAAGTAAAAGAAATGTTAAAGTAATCGGCTTTAATGAAATAAGATGGATCATATGCTATTAAACAAACAAAAAAGAAGACATAATTACTTGAAACTAATCATTTAAATAATAACACGAAAATAATTTGTTTTAAACTTAATGCTGTTACAGTTGTATCCGTGCCTATGTTGCTTTGATACAAGTAAATTAACTTGTGGAAAGTGGGTTATTCTATCAAAACCCTGTTCATAATTCTTGTATGAGGAATAATTGTATAAATGTTAAATGCTGTTAGCGTCGATAGATGCCGCCACCATAAAAACTGAAAAATGCTTCCTGTTTGACCTTCGAATGATGTGATAAGATAGGACAGATCGTTAATACTACTGCGTGGCGTGCTATTCCAATGCGTTTTATGTGGCTTACAATATGTAAAAGTGAGAAAGGTAAAGTGTTGTGTATTTCAATATAAATTACATGAGCTTAAACTGCAGCTGTAAAGAAACTGTTGAAAAGATGAGAACCTGATCATCATCGACACGATATAAAACTTTGAAAGTAACAGATCTTGTGACGTAAAAGGTTCTGTGTATTAGTTATATATTCAAGAAATAGTAGCTTTTATTTCGTCTTTTTTTATATACATTCGCAAGAAATTTGAGTCACAGAAGAGTATTATTGCAGAGTAACTAAACTGTACGGTATTAATGTTTTGACAATTTTATGTTAAAAGGGTCAAGAAACATACTTTATAATGTTTTGTATGTGAATAAGGTGAAACATTCGTCTTAGAATATCATAAAGCTAGTAATACTAACTACATCTACTACTTTTGTAAGCAGTATATATATATGTAAGAAGAACGTTACCATCTGCTCGTCTGTCTTCACGTTTTTTCCATTTCCAGCGTCACCACAGTTAGAAAGTGGCGGGAAACAGTCACATGATCATTCCGGATACTTGTTGCCTCGGCAAAAACATCAAGCGCAAGAAAGGGGTTCAAGTTACAAAGTTTCTGTGAAGGATAAAATTTCGTCAACCTCAGTGACACAGGCATGAACGTGGGGTTATCAGTTCCCTCTCATTTGATAACGGTATATTTAAATACATATTTTTTTCAATAAGTTGCATATTATTTTCATGAAGGCTTAAACTATCGGACATCTTGCCTTGAATATTTTGTTATGGTGACATCTCTGGAGACTTTTCACACAAGTGTCCCCCACACGTCGTTATAATATAATATTAAAGGCAAGACGTTCCATAGCAAAACCCTTACCAATTATGCCCTCTTGCCAACTATGTCCCTGAAACACATCATTTTCATTTAAATGTTCACTGTTAGAAAAATCAGACATGTAATCGTACCAGGTAATATATTTTCATTTTTTAATGAAAAGCCAATGTACTAAGATATGAACACAAAGCTACTCAATGAACTATCTATAGTGTGTTCAGCACGGTTAGCAAAACCCGTTTTAACCCGCTGTAAGTCTTCAGATTTCCTGTTGAGCCACCAGGGGGCCTCTTTAATAAGAGCATGTCATATATACACACTGGTATAATACTGTTATTTTCTTGTTTATTTTAAATAATATTGTTTTGAATTAATAAGAAAGCACATCATACTGACAACTAATATATGAAATATAGTATTACTTGTTGGTTTTGCTAATCTAAACTGAAAATATTTATTACTTTATTGAACATAATTCTTTATGAATGTAAAGTTTGAAATATTAAACTTGAAAGTTCGTTTTCTCCAATAGTCTGTGTTCCAAATAAAAATGTTTTCCGTAAATTCCTAATATAATAATGGAAAATAATTATCCACATTTACTTTATCATATAACAAATAATTATCTAACGTTATAACTCAATTGAATACCTAATTAACAATTGCATTTTTTAATGTCTCTTTTCTAACCAAGACCTAAGAATAATTATTATATTAAAATATTATTTATTTTTATTTATTTAAATCATCTGATTTATTACTAAGTGTAGTATCCTATGATAAATCGTGACTTTGCCACCATGCCCAGCTAGTGCACATTTTAACTGGAAGCGAGTGGGTGATTCACATGTTCTTGCAATCACGTGCTGTCTCCCGCTCTTATGCTGATTGGTCAATTTCAAAGCGCACTCTGCCTTCCTATTACGTAATTCTAAAATAATTGGCCCGTGAGTCTAGAAAAGACTGTTCGCCTAGAGTAGCGACTATTCGAAACCGGAGTGTGGTTGGTGTAGGTGAAAGAAGGATTTCGATGTAACTTTAAAATGTCAACGGCGCTAGTTCCATGTTGTGAGTGGAACGATACATTTTCTAAAGTAAGTAAATCCCATGTTTAAATTGTAATTTAAAACTCTTATTTTTGTAGTTGTTTTTAATAGGAATAAGTTACTAAAAGTAATTACTACTTATCAACAAGTGGTGGGCGTTGCCCGTATTCATATACATGTCGGGAAAAAATTCATGATTTTAGAAAAACACGTAGGTTTAAGAAGTCTTAACATAAATGAATAAAACCTATAACCTGAGCGCTTTCGAAACGGTTTGCCCTTGAAGAAGAAAAGTCCACCTTTCGAAAGCGCTCGGGTTATATGGTTTTTATACATTTATGTCGGAAAATATGTTATAGAGAAAGAGTTAATTAATCTAGCGTGTGTATATAGGTAGTTTTAAACCGAAGCCTCTCTCTCTTTCTCTTTAGAACAACGTTTCAGCGCACAAAAGGTCATTCCCGCTGGACAGGAGGCCCCTAATTTCGCCGCCTCTCAATGTAGCAGGTTCCAGGCGAAGTTCTGCCAGTGCCGCATCTAATGTGATCCCACCAACATCCAAGTCAGTATTGACGTTCCAGAAGTCTATTAATGGAGTCGGAATGCACCAACCGATCAGCTCGCCAGTAGACAACGTTAGCTGTGGTCCGAAGGAACACCGACGGCTCGATCGCAGCTTCAGTGAACCTGCCACAAAACCTACTCAAGCAAACTCCAGTCGTTATAAAACAGAGCTATGTCGACCATTCGAAGAAAATGGAACGTGCAAGTACGGAGATAAATGTCAGTTTGCTCACGGCGCTCAGGAATTGCGTACGTTAGCTCGACATCCAAAATATAAAACTGAGCTTTGTCGTACTTTCCACACCACGGGTCTTTGTCCATATGGACCAAGATGTCATTTCATCCACAACAGCGAAGAGTTAAGAAAACATATGCTCAATAACCTTCACGCTGGTTTGAACCCTCTACAATACCCCGAAGGTCCATCAGAACAGCCGAGAGCAGGTCTTGGTGCTAGCCGACCCAAGACTCTTTCTCTGGGTAGCTTTAGCTTGGGGTCCACCGGAGAAATGTCTCCACCCTCCAGTCTCAGTGCCAGCCCAACATCACTGAACAGTTTTTTTCCAGATGATAATTTTGGGACATTCTTTTCAACGCACCACGCCCCAGGTTCTACACACCGTTCTGCATCTTTTCCTTTCTGTCAGGATTTTGCTCTTCTGATGTCTCCTGTGAAACAGCAACCTTGTCTGTCAACGTTCGGTGGTTCCCAGCCAAGCCTTAATCCTTTCATCATAAGCACCTTGGGTGGTGATATGGCAGGAGAAAATCCCGTATGCTCTGATCCTTTGTATTCACCTGTCCATGCCCCACCATCCCCGGCAAATTCGTTGAATTCCGAATTGGACAATCTGAGCTCTGCTTTTGATATCAATCACAATCTTCCCCGGTTGCCTATCTTCAGCAAGTTGTCTGTTTTCGATTCGGACTAAGCTTCTGTCATTTCAGTTTGTGTTATAAAATAATGATAATAAATGTGCTCAATGTCTGGGACCAACCAACGTCAATAGATGTACGTGACATTTGTATCATAATAATTAGTATTAAGTTATGATTTTTGTATGTGTTATTAATTTAGGCTGCTTATGATGCTAAGTTTTACATTTTGCACAAAACCTAATTATACCAGTATATATTTATTTGTAAAGCGTTTGTACTGTAGCCGCTCTTAATGGTTTTCACCATGTAACTTTATTATGTCACAGGGCATTCACCGACGTGGGTGGTAAAACCATTTTGATTGTCACGATTATTCAATATAATGTTTAAATGTCATTATTTCCTATACCCTATTTTTTAAGTATTAATAGATATAGATATCAAAAGTACGATGAAATTTGTCTTAATTTTAATATAAGATGCTGTCATTCGAAAATGTTCCGACACTGTAGTTTGAATATTATTCTAGTTAAGCTTAAATCAGTGTTTTTGTGCAGTAGGTTTAAGCCTTAGGGTACGTCTTAGAATTCATGTATTTAAGTAACTTATTTATTTTTTAAAATATGCCTTGGGCAGTCATTTAAGATTCATTAATATTGACAATGAAATAGCGTATGTGATGAAGAGTAAGTTATTTTGGTAACGTAAGACAAAAATAATGAAATCGTCAGAGTTTCCTTCAACTTCAAGCCTTAATGTTTTAATTCGCACAAGATTTAGTGAAGATATTTTAAAGAAGTGCCTTAATTCTTTCGTCTTCCTCTATTTGCCGAATGTTGTATAAAATTAAAAAGACGTTGTCAAGATTCGATGAAAGTTTTTGTTTTATTTGAAAGTGGGGGGGACAAAGGAAGCATTCCGTAAAAATAGAACCATTATCTTTAACGAGTTACCTCTACTCGTGGTATTCGTAAACAATATATAGCTGTTGAATGTATTAAATAAATTTCTAATGTTTGAAATCATATTTGAAAAAAAAATGCTAGTGACTGAGTTTTGTATTAAATATATATATATATCTACATAACATTTTATTCTAAGAAAAATTATTCAAAATGGCAACTCTTCATAAATTAAAATTCAAAACAGCAAAGAAAGAAATATTAAGATTTTTTTCACAGGCCGTCTATCTTTTTCCACAAGAATCAAGAAAGAAAAAAAATACTTGCACCGTTGCCAAGTGACAGACGCCTTGTTTATTGTTAACGTTCTTCTGATGTCGAAGAGGCTATTTTCACGCGGGTAAAGAAACACGCTTATACCCCACCTAACGTTACGTTTCTGAACAACTTGTTTTTATTGTGTTTCATGCGAATCATGAGCCGTTTACTAAAAACTTAGTAATCTCGAATTATGTGGTATATATATATAGATGAAGAAAACAAAAGCCAGAAAACTATTGGATAAACACATTGAAATTGAATCCTGAAAACAAACAGGTAACTCAACATTTGTTGGACCACATGGTCTGAGTAAAATGTAGATGGAAATTCAGCTGGTCCGAAGAAATGTATTTCTGATCTACGGACAGTATTCCGGTTATTGATATTTTGATAATTTAGAATTAACTAACTGAGCATTTCCTCTCAAGCTGTATTTGTTTGTTTTTTTATTAATAAATCTTAAAAACACATAGAAAGCGATTTTTAAGAACGTATATACGGAATTGTAATTTTCGGTATTTGAATGTTTTCAGAGCAAAGCCACATCTGGCCATCTGCTGTGTCCGTAAACTTACCACTGTCTCCCACTGGGTGGGGTGGGAGGCTCGGTATTTGTTCTAACTTTACGTGATTTAAAAACCAGTTCAGTGTACACATAGACCACTTTTCCATATAAACTTGCAGAAAAACTATCTTTACTCTTTAGATAATAATAATAATAAAAACCTTTATATTTTAGTCAACGTTTCACACTTGCGACAGCAGGGCTAATTTTGTTATGTAGTAAAGATAGTTTTTTCTCTAACTTTATTGCCAAAATATTTAAATCCCTCTAGTATAATTACAAGTTCTGAAAAACAACACTTTTCTATATATAATACCCTCCCCCAATGGCTCATCGGTAAGTCCGAAGGCTTATAACGCTCAAACTCGGGTTTCGATACCCGTGGTGAGAAGGGCACAAATAGCCCATTGTGTAGTTTTTTGCTTAATAACAAAATAAGTCACATATAAAGAATTTAAGAATTTATTCACTCAAAGTGAATCGACATAAACACTTTAACATTTATTTTATCAAAATGCCAAAATTTACTTATGTTAAAGCGAGTAAGAATATTATGTTTGTAACTCTTGCACGACTTTACATCGTAGCTATAAAGATATTAATAAGCATCTCACACTTTATTGCAGTAACATTAAGAGAAGGTGCAGTGAAAATACTGTATCTAGGTCACTGTTAGAGCAGGAATAAGATGGGAATGGTAGCGACATCTGGTGGAGCTGGTCTCTAAAAACTGATTAACAGATGCAGGCCATGACCTGTATATGGAGACTGGGAGTAATTGCTGGTTTTAACAGAGGTACAGGAAAACGAAGGTTATTCACCTATAATTTCCTTATCTATAAAGTTGTATACGGAAGTAATAAAAAAAACTATATTTTTAGATTAACATTAATGAAGAAATGAGCTTTGAACGAACCTTGTATACAACTTTACATAAGTTTGCATTAATTTCCGAACAATTCAGGGTTTCAATAGTACGTCAGTATTTAGATATATTTAGGTTTAATTCACGCAACTGAGGGTTTAATTTGTCTTCGTGTTACGTAGAAGAAAATGACCATCGGGTTACAACGAGAATGACTGGCGTTTTATATTAGAAAAAAAAAGGATCATTTCGCCTCAGATTGAGAGAGCTCTTTCAAAAGAGGTTCAGTAATAGATTGAAAAATACATTAAGAAATATATATTCAAAGAGTGCACAGAGGGAAGCCGGATCAGCTGTTAAGAGAAGTCAAATAGTTTGTAAAGGGTGCACAGAGGAAAGCCGGATCGGCTGTTAAGAGAAGTGAAATAGTTTGTAAAGGGTGCACAGAGGAAAGCCGGATCGGCTGTTAAGAGAAGTCAAATAGTTTGTAAAGGGTGCACAGAGGAAAGCCGGATCGGCTGTTAAGAGAAGTCAAATAGTTTGTAAAGGGTGCACAGAGGAAAGCCGGATCGGCTGTTAAGAGAAGTCAAATAGTTTGTAAAGGGTGCACAGAAGAAAGTCGGACCGACTGTTTAGAGAAGTGAAATAGTTTGTAAAGGGTGCACAGAAGAAAGCCGGATCGGCTGTTAAGAGAAGTCAAATAGTTTGTAAAGGGTACACAGAGGAAAGCCGGATCGGCTGTTAAGAGAAGTCAAATAGTTTGTAAAGGGTGCACAGAGGAAAGTCGGCTCGACTGTTTAGAGAAGTGAAACAGTTTCTAAGAGGTGCACAGAGGAAAGCCGGATCAGCTGTTAAGAGAAGTGAAATAGTTTGTAAAGGTCGCACAGAGGAAAGCCGGATCAGTTGTTAACAAACGTCAAATAGTTTGCAAAGGGTACAGAGAGAGAATTTCAGTTTAATTGTTGTTAAGTGCAAAGCTAGACAATGGGCTATCTGTACTCTACTCACGACAGGTATCGAAACCTGACCTTTGGTGTCGTATACCTGCAGATTTACCGCTGAGCCGCTGGGGGAAGGGGGATACGTGTTGAAATAAACTATGTCTGAAAGTAAGACTACAACCACACAGACTTTTAAAAGTATGATAAAACTCTATCATATTTATAGCTATGGGTCATGTTTAGAGTTTCAATAATATTTGTATGTTAATTTAAACACGAGTTATCGTAAAGGAAACTTTCTCAACATAGGGCTAAGTAGACCTCATATTGCTCCAATGTCACTATGACATTTACTCAATATTTTATAACTATAACAACAGAATACGAAAACTCTAAGTAACTTCATCATAAGTAAAACTCATTTTTTATAATAAAATGTTTTTATAAAGCAAACTTATTTCTCAACTTTTCTATCATCATTATGGATCACGTTTCGGAAAACGACTGATGACGTCATGGAAGTTTGTTAGGATTACACGAGGGTATACAGAATTGATGGTTTTCAAGGTCAGAATGATAAAAAATATAACGTATTTGCTAAACAGCCCGTACATTCCAATGAAAATAGAAACTGGTTTAACCGCCAAATATTCGCTAGAATAAACTTCATTTTTTTACTGTGTCTAAAGTCGAACAAACGCAGTAACTACCGGAAGTACATCAGTGACGCACACAAATGGATGTGTTGAAGGGCTATCTATAGTGTGTGTGTGTGTGTGCATCTTATTCAACGACTACGTGCAGACAAACTCAGATACTAATTAATGCAATAATGTATAAATAATAACCATGCATACAATACACGCATACATTGCGTGCCTATGTATAGAGTTGCTGAGGGATGATAACTGAGTGATATGTAATATAATACATATACACTTGGGGCGTTCTCACAGGCTGCTAAAACGGACATCCTTTGTTGGATATTGCCATTTAACTATGTAAGTGTATTCTATGCGCACTTAATCTAATAATACTCTGTCTTTAACCCTGTGAACCTCTTACTGATACAGTATAACTATGGTCTGTCTTGTATTCTAATGTTCTCCACAAAGACTCAATATGGTAATAATACACCTTTCTCTTCGCTGATAGTAAACCGAAAAAGAACACTGTGTTTTGTTTGTTTTTAAATTTTGCGCAAAACTACACGAGGGCTATCTGCGCTAGCCGTCCCTAATTTAGCAGTGTAAGACTAGATGGAAGGCACTTAGTCATCACCACCCACCGCCAACACTTGGGCTACTCTTTTACCAACGAATAGTGGGATTGACCGTCACATTATAACGCCCCCACGGCTGAAAGGGTGAGCATGTTTGGTGTGACGGGGATTCGAACCCGCGACCCTCAGATTGCGAGTCGAGTGCCGTAACCACCTGGCCATGCCGGGCCTGGCTGTGTTTTTTACATATAATGCCCCCCTCCTCCAATGGTTAAGCGGCAAGTCTGCAGGCTTATGACGCTCAAAATCGGGTTTCGATAACCGTGGTGGGCACAGCACAGATAACCCATTGTTTAACTTTGCGCTTAGCAACAACTTAATCAATTACTTGTAAAGGAATAACGTAAATAAAGGGGTTGGACAAAATAATGGGAAGACCTCTTAATTTCTAAATTTTATATATTAACACGGTGTTGGTCCTCTACGGGGAGATAATACAGTATTAACACGAAATGAAATTGGTTAAACAATGTGTTACCTATCAGGCAATGATTTTTTTTTAACATTCGTCGGTCAAAGCTTCTCCTAACTGTTGACATGGTGTTGGTTTGTGGTGGACATCTGCTCTGAAGACTGGTTTCAAAAACTAGCCAAAGAAGCTCGATCATACTTAAAGATGGTGATTGTGGTGGCCAAGCTAGGAACCCATACTCTTCCTCATGTATTCTTAGCCCATTTTTTAACGTTTTCAGAAGTATGACTTGTTGGTCTGTTTGAAAATACAGTGTTGATCATATAGTGAAACTAGTCTGTAATAAAGTTTCAGAAATCATCTTCTGTAACTTTACCTTCAAATGAGATCATTGTTTCTAAACTATCCCAACAAAAAGCTGTTCATATCCTCACCGAGCCTACACCAGGATTAATTGATGGCACAAGACATTCAAGGTTGTAAGCATTTTTTGGTTTCACTACACATAAACACGGCAATTTTATGGAAAGAGTGCAAAGGGTGATTCGCGATCTTTAGTCCAATCTTTATGTTCTTTGCACCGTCTCACTCGGACTTTCGATTTTTTTTTGGGGGGGGGGGTTGGTAACTAGAGGCTTCTGAATAGCAGATCTAACATAATAGGCTGTCTTGTACTGATCTTCTAGAGTTGTTTTGACAAAGATTAGTTGCTGTATTGTTAAGTATTGTGCACCTTTTATTTTTGTCTCAATACACACGTTAATGGTTGTCTGTCATGATCGTAGTTTTTTGACCACTATTATACTAGTTGTTGTTTTATTTTTCAACATCATTGCTGACATCAGTCTTTACAATGCCCTTCAGGATACGTTAATTATTTTAGGTGTTCGTGGCACTGAAAATCCAACTAAAAGTTCACCACAATCGCGGCTTTTGGGAAATCTGGCCCACATTTTTAACTTGATAATTTTAGTACCTTTCTCTGAAAAATAATAATATACTACTCCTAAATACAAATTCAACGGTATAGTATAATTTAATGCACAATTAGATTGCCATGGCTGTATTTCCTCTCTTAGAGACACCTAAACTTGGAGGTCAATGTAAGCACCATAATTTTTAACCAATATGTGTTTTCGCGCATTCAATTTAGAAATACTTTTTCTTAAATCATACATGTACTTTATCCATATTCAACTTGGGGCACCAGGACCACTAGAAAGAGACTTGCAAAAAGTTGTACTTCAACCATCGTAAGCAGTAGGTCTTCTTGTAACAGGTGAGAATCGACGAACACATGGTTAGTGGTAAAAGCCGTTCATGTGCCCTAGGCAACAGTATGCAACATATTCAAAAAGGATATCTACCTGGAAAACCAACAAAGTCACGTGTGCACAAGTTGCTTCCTCAAAATATCGTCCATCTGTGGCATACTTCAAGCTACTGGAGAATGAAACAAATATTCATGCTATTCCATACAAGGACAGGTCAAGTCGCCGGAGGCAATGCCTATGGATTTCTGTGTGATCAGCTGCTGAAACAGTCGCTAGAACCCATTCTTCTCGTATACTAGATGAACTATGGAAAACATTCAGGGAGGAGAGGTGTGCTTTAGACTGAAATCCTCACGAAAGAGCCTTCAGCAATGAAACTATGCTGTAGGAGTATTTTCAAGGTGCGTGATAAAGGTCGCTAGATAAAACATGAACAGACGCAGCAACATGGACTAAAACAACGTAGTGAGGCCCCAAAATCACTGTATTGTAAGGGAATGAACTGTACCAGAGTACACTCACATGTTGATAGCTTCAATGTGATTAGTCGTTATTCAATCAGTTAGACAGTGTCACACCATAATGCTTATCGAAGTATAAGCAGTCGTACTGTTCTCAGTAGTATTGTGATGAATGCAGTTATTGCTCCCAGGAGATAAACGCCATCATACACACAAGTAGAATGAAAAGTTTTGGCTGGTGTAGACTACTTGGTGCAACAGAGTTTGGCAAAATTTCATCTTTCAGTGGGAGCCGTATGGAAATTCTGAATAGAGTATGTGAAACTAATTCTGTTTATAAGAGAAGTGAACGAGATAGAAAGCCAGAACTCTTTTAAAATGTTGTTTAACAACTCAGGGTGCGCTTTTTATTGATACACGATAATCCAGTAAAAATATTGCGAATGACCTAGCTGTAAGAACAGGCGTGAATGTTAAAACAATAAAAATACAATAAAACAATAAGATGCATGTTAGCAAGAAGTGGTTTCAATAGATAATCCAAAATCGTTTCTGAAGTAAGAATTGGACAACAAACCATGAAATGTTCAAAACTCGAAGAGGTAGGTACTCGTTGAATCTAAATTCAAATTTGGAATTAATTAACTACAGTTTCTTAGATGGTAAAGAGGAGAACGGAATCTTGACCATTGTACAACGTCGACAGGGCAGCATGCTGAGAGACAAATGCAAGTGTGAAGATTCATCTCAGCTAATGATGTTGGAACCTACAAAATATTGATGGTACTCTAACTACTGACTGGTACAAGCGATTTCTTATCTGTATCGTCATTCTATCAGAAACAAGTTCTTGGATTGGGATTCATCTTTCAGCAAGACAGTGATTCCAATTATGAAGCAAGTATGTGCAATCGACACCAGGTAGAGATAAAAAAAGGCTAATGGAATACTCACAGCTAAAGTTTGATTTGTTCAAAGTCCCGGTATAAATAGTAAAAATATATAGGCGTTTATGGAAACTGGGGAAGTAAAACGACAACCAAACATCTTGGCTGAAATGTGTATATCAATACAAGGCAATATAGTTAATATATCCTTTGCTGATTTACAGCCGGTTTTAGCCTAGTAGTTAAGTGCCACACTGTGGATTGAAGGGTCCGGGATTCGAAACGTGATGCCTCCAAACACGCTCCGAACCTTCACTGATATGCGCTAAATAAGAGACAATCACCCCCATTATTCAATTTAAACAGCCGGACAAAGCCCTTTTGGCGGCAGATGCTGCTCTAACCAGTAGTTCAAAATTACAGACAACAATACCTAAACCTTGGTGGTCTCTGACCGCGTGTACATCAGGTGCCGTTCAAGTTTTAAAAATTCCATATTCAATTCTAACTGTATAATCTATATTCTGTACAAACTCAGTATGTGATACTTTATCTTTAAATATTTAGGTGTTGCTTTGGAAAAAAATAAGTAATATTAAAACATTGTTATAAATATTTCCTACGCAGATACTCAATTCAATAACTGACAGTCCCTAATAATTCTATATTTAGCTGTATATCTGCTCCTAAATTTCTTTGTTGTCATGCAAAGATTCAGTATAACTTTACTCAGTTTTAACTGAGTGGGCTCAGCATGGCCAGGTGGTTAGGACGCTTGATTCGCAATCTGAGGGTCGCGGGCTCGAATCCCCGTCACACCAAACATGCTCGCCCTTTCATCCGTGGGGGGCGTTATTAGGTAACGGTCAATCCCACTATTTGTTGGTAAAAGAGTAACCCAAGAGTTGGCGTTGGGTGGTGATGAACTAACTGCCTTCCTCTAGTCTTTCACTGCTAAATTCGGGACGGCTAGCGCAGATAGCCCTCGTGTAGCTTTGCGCGAAATTAAAAACAAACAAATAACTCTACGTATATTAGTTTAACGGACAATAATCACACTCGGATACAAAAATGGTTGAAATAATTATGTAATTTATGTTTCGGCCAAATGACCTTCGTCGGGACTACAATGAAGCTCGTTTGGCCAAAATACTGCCCATGTAATTATATTTATCATATGACGATTTTACAAATACTTGGTAGTCTTTTATGAACCTTAATATCATATTGTAAACAAAATATTTTCCGTAGTTGTTTTTGTAATACTTAAAATTTAAGTTTTTCTAACTAATCTGATTGATCTAACGAGGGAAAAAAACAACAACTTTCAAACCGGTTTTCAATAGGCACTGTATTTAGAATTTTGACACGCAGTTGAAGTTGTTTCTTTACAGATGTGAATTGTACACACATGGAACACATACCACGTGTTGCCTTTCGTATTCCAAACACTGTTCACGTATTTTTAGCTCACTTTCAACTTGGGCTTTTGTGTGCACTAGCTGAGTGATGTTTTCGGTTGTACTTGTTGCTAGGCGCACCGTAAACGCATGCGCAGTGTTATCAGCAATTTGAAAGGGAACGATGAATGCTCGTGTTTAGTCAGTGTACATCGTTTTAATGATTTCTGTAAACATCTAATGAAAAGAACGTTTGTGTTGAGCTTTGCAGTGGTTAAAACTGAGACTTCATTTGAATATCTATACGAATAGGACAACTGGGATAAATTTTTATGCAAAGAAAACACTCGATTTAAGAGCTCCAAATTGTGGCGGTGGTGTGCCTAGCATCATAGCATATGCTCTCTTATAATATATACACGTATATATATATATTTATACAGCAGTTTTTAATAAATATTTTGATTCTGTTGATCGTTTTACAGCTGTCTATTTTTTTAATAAAAAAAATGTGCAAACTAAAATTAGACCCTGCCCCAAGTTTGGAAAAACATCATAGTAGCATTTGAATACTTCTTACTCATTATTGCATTTATATAAATCCAGTGCATTGTGTCATTTAATTAGCCCTTAAATTAGTGTTGATTTGTTTGTGAAGTTTCGTGCAAAGCTACTCTACCCGTCCCTAATTTTGAAATGATAGACTAGACGGAAGAGAACTAGTCAACGCCATCTATAGGCAACTCTTGGATTACACTTTACCAACGAAAAGTGGGATTGACCGTCACATTATAACGTCCCAATACGACTGAAAGGGCAGGCAGGTTTGTTGTTGGGATTCGAACCTGTCATCCAAAGACTGCTAGTAGAGTATTTTAACTACCAAGTCATGCAAGGCCAAAGGTGATACAGAAGGCTGCTGATTTGTGAAACATATTTATTACATTGGATTAAAAGTTATGGAAAACATCAACAACCTCCTAGTGCATAAAAACTGTCCTAAAATGATATCCTTTATCGCGTGAATTTATCAGTTTATCTTTATATCTATCAATATATCTATCTATCTATTTATTTTGAGGTATGCACTAACCTGCCAAACTAGTCCAAACATACCTTGAACACGAGACATGCTCTGCAAAAGAACTTAACACATATTAACACAGAGACAAACCAGTTCAGTAGTGGGAAGAAAGCCAAAACGTTATGAATGACGTGATTTTGAGAAAGGAGTGAATACAGACTACTGAAAGTTGAAGGTCAAAATATACAGTAGTAACAATGCTTGGAACATAAGACATACATCTGTTTTGGTTTTCCTGGCTAAGAAAAAGAATATGTCAAAATAAGTCCTACAGATAACAAGAGATTCAAGGATTCGGAAAGTAGAGATATTTTGTTTGTTTGTTTTTTCGTTGAATTTTTGCAAAGCTGCTCGATGGCTGTCCCTAATTTTGAAATGATAGACTAGAGGGAAGGCAACTAGTCAACACCACCCACTGCCAACTCTTGAGCTACTCTTTTACCAACGAATATTGGGATTGACCGTCAAATTATAACGCCCCCACGGCTGAATGAGCAAGCATGTTCGGTGATGGGATTCGAGCCCGTGACCCGCAGATTGACAGTAAATTGCCCTAACCACTAGACCATGCCAGCCCTTAGATAGAAAGAAGAGATAAAGTCAAATTCACAACACCTTTTCTCATGACAGCAAACCAAAAAAAAAAAACAGTTTGTATTCGATGACGAGGAACCCAGTCTGTAATTAAGCACAAACCTACACAAAGGGCTATCTGTGTTCTGCCGGACCACGGGTATCGAAACCCGGTTTATAGCTTTTTAATTCTGCGGACATGCCCCTTTGCCACAGGAGAAAAACAGTAAAATTACTAAAAAATATTAAGAAATAAATAAAACAAGCAAAGTGAAATTACCCCCCCCCCAACAAAAAATCAAACTCAATGATCACTAAACTTATATGGATGCTGATAGGGAACTCTGTAAAGTTATTAAACTTGAGTAATTATCAAGAAGAACAGAAGAAAAAAGAACCATTATCAAGTCAGTCTCTCTTTTTATTTCTTTTTTTTTTCTTGAAGTCTGAAATGGTGAATAAGGCAAACATTATTAGGTTATTCTCTTTAAGGTTGGTTAAGGTTTCTTGTTATCAAAGTTATTTAAAATTTTGTGGAGCAATCAGAGCCACAGCACCAAGTTTCAAAGTGTTAGCTGAATATGAATCAAGGGGCAAGCAGATGAATAATTTAACCATGACTGTGTTGTATCACTTAGAAAATATTGTGGCGTGGCTACTATTGTATAGACTGTATCTTACGCATTGGATATGGAATCTGCCTAAGTATGTCTATTCTTTACCATCCCTCTGGCTATCTAGGGATCAAGGTGAATACTGGAGACGTTTCGTCAGTAGACCAATGTGTTAGTCTAACAGCCCAATAATATCTTCCACAAAGAACCTATATATACTACTCACACCTGATTTTATATTAATCATGCTAGCGACCTTGAATTATCCACCAAGACCCCAAACCTTAACGTACGTGTTCTAGACCACCAAGAATGATTAAGTGTCCGAAATCTTCAAACAAAGGAAGCAAGTTGAACAAGACATATATCTCAACTTAGTTTAGAGCATGCTTGTTATAACAGCACCAGTTACATCATACTAAGACAACCTTCTATTGGAACTTAGTTTAGACCATGCTTGTAAGAACAGTACCAATCACACCATACTAGTACAACCTTTTATGGACTATCGGAACTTAGTTTAGACCATGCTTGTAAGAACAGTACCAATCACATCATACTAGGACAACCTTTTATGGACTATCGGAACTTAGTTTAGACCATGCTTGTTATAGCACCAATCACATCATACTAGGACAACATTCTATGGACTATCGGAACGTATTTTAGACCATGCTTGAAAGAACAGTACCAATCACACCATACTAGGACAACCTTTTATGGACTATCGGAACTTAGTTTAGACCATGCTTGTTATAGCACCAATCACATCATACTAAGACAACCTTCTATGGACTATCGGAACTTAGTTTAGACCATGCTTGTTATAGCACCAATCACATCATACTAGGACAACCTTCTATGGACTATCGGAAATTAGTTTAGACCATGCTTGTAAGAACAGTACCAATCACATCATACTAGGCCAACCTTCTATGGACTATCGGAACTTAGTTTAGATCATGCTTGTAAGAACAGTACCAATCACACCATACTAAGACAACCTACTATTGGAACTTAGTTTAGACCATGCTTGTTATAGCA